CACGTCGTAGTCGGTACCGTACACTGAATAAGAAGCGCTTCTTGGCATCACCAGGAATTTTTCCGGGGAGAGGGCCAAAGTAATGAACTACACCTACATGTAATAAACCTTTAACCGAGGAAAAGGTCAATTTCTTTTTTTAAATTTCTCTCTTTTCTCCCTTTATTTTCCCTTTCAATTTTATCCGGGGGGAGGGGATACCCCCTTATCCCAACGATGCCCCTTGAAAAGCTTCACGCTACAGCATGTGAATCTACCTTTTGAACGGCGGGTCGGCCATTTGAATTGGCCGAATGAAACAGAAAAAGATCTTCTGGCTCCTTCTTAACTGATTGTTTTTCCCCACTGAACTTGCGATCACTGTAACAGCTTTGCCACCGCCAAAAAGCGGAGAGTTCCCCACAATGACAGTGCCCGTACCACTGCACAGCCAGAAAAGTGAAAGTTTCTCTATTTCCCTACGTTATCAATTACATGCACCTGTAAGTCACAACAATGACATCACTTCATCACCTTAACACCGACAAGGATGAACTCAAAGATGGAAACAAAGCCTACATTGGAGCAAAAAGGTTACATACATGTAGCCTGGTTTTGTAGGACAAATGTGCCTTTGATATCTCAGATTGAAGAGTGCAAAACATTTTGCAGAGTGCTGGATATTTGGGCATTTCAGGAAGACTCCATCCATAATGGCCAACAGGGGACAGACTAATTATATAATTTAACCCAACTCCATGCAGACTCCTGCAGAAGCACAGGAACTGAAGCTTCATGTTGTGTTGGAACAGGCTTTCCACAAGCCTCCTTTTTGTGTGAGTCATCCCAGCGACCCACATTCAGAGCACATGTATGCACACTGGCCTACTTATTAAAAAGCCTCAGATTCAAATAAATCCTTTTTATTTTTTTTCTGATAGTGCCACGTGCACAGCGGATGGCGGGAAAAAATAGTCTTCAGTACTGCCCTCAGGTTATGTCTGCACACCGTGGAAATGCAAAAATAATGCCATGTATAGACCTACACTGTACTACACAGGTCATATTTAAACTGCACACATCAATTTCTTGGATACAGCACGAGCACATGGCATCTACTGGTACACTGCATGTGGACAGCGCTTGGTCGAGGATTACAGAGGAAGACAGTGTGGGAGAAAGATCTAAGATATTCAAATGTGACTTCAGACTTCCTAAATTTGATTTAAGTTGTGAAGAAAAAATATGCCAGAAGGGTGTTTCAAATAAATTCAGGGATTTGGCGAGAACATGTGACTTGAAAAGAGTTTAATTCCAAACTGAACTGTAGGCCTAAAGGCACATGTATGTATTGCACTTTCAATAATCAGTGATTCTGGGTGTACAGTAACATGAAAGCTCAGCACCTAAACAGATACTGTGGCCTTTATCTTGTTAAAAGGGATGCTACATGTACCTTTTTAAAGGCATGCAATGAATTTTTTTCATACAGTCATTGTACGCACATGCTGTGTCATGTTCAACCTAATTTTACTACGCCATTTTCATTAAAAAAAATTTTGGAATCATTTTGGTTTTTATGCCAACTGTGCAGTTAGTTATAAAAAAAACCCAAACCCTGAGGAAAGGGGTTAATATGTCCAAACCATGAGATGTAATTTTAATGTATAAGGGTCTCCGCAAATTAGAAGCAGTATTCTTTCTAATGATACCTTGATGGTATCCCTCCTTTCATGCATGACTGAACACCATTGTCTTGAAAATGGGGCATCCGAACTCAGTTGTAACACTTTAGATAAACCATTGAATGAGGCTGTCCTCTGTCATATCATATCTCATGGTTTGGGCATATTAACGCCTTTCCTCAGGGTTTGGTTTTTTCTGGGACACCCTTTACATGTACCGGTACGTATGCCTGAACATTGGCAAAATTAATCTAGCATTGATGAGAAACAAAGAATTAACTTTATATGGCCAGGTTACTTTCTTAATGATTTATTTTCAAGCAAACTTGAATCCTTGAGCCTAATGTGCCTAATAAGGCCAGCTGATTACATTGCATGCACTGTACAAATCATGACGAGATCGGCAAAAACAGAGACAAAATAAGACAAATTCGGCCAAATCTGCCACAAAGAAGATAAACCAATACAGAAAAAGCCCCGTACATGATGTGTGTATAGCTTCATCCGGGCACGCTTCACTGTGTGTACGAGGCATGCTGCTGTACTATACACGCAGAGCTGGGGACTGGGAACCATACAACCATTTGTGCATCCCTGCTATCAATCTCTGTGGAGGCAGTAGTCTGCTTTGTATGTGTAGCGTGGTCGCGGTGTATGGGAACCGTTCCTACTGGACTTTTTGCACCCCTGCTGACTTACTGTGGCTGCGCAGAAAGCTTCCACGACCCTTTCCGACCTGTTAGTTTTACCTCGTGACCCTGGTAAGGTGACAGGGACGTTAATTTATCGTGATTTGTGGTGCCTCGTAGGGTATCAGAACAATAGGCAGTACCCCACAAGGAACATTTGTTGTTCCCCATGGTACCCCATAACAATATGTGACCCACCATCCCAAAACCAGGCTGAAGTTGGTAACTTTATAACCCTAAAATAGTGGAACTTCCTCTGTTCAGATTTTCATGGGAGTTTTACAGCTATCCCGTAAGAAGCTCACTGCAGACAGAATAATGATTTAACAAGGATCACTTTCAAGTGTTAAAAAAAGCTGAGGAATCGTCCAACATCACAAATACCGACTTCAGTCTGGTTTTGGGATGGTGGGTCACATACAATGTATCACGAAATAGATTTTGGGAACTTACTCAAAAAGGAGAAATTTCCAAGGTATACATCAGTTTATCTGTCTCATAATCGTAAACATGTATGTGAGAAATATTTGGTCCAAGTACACGTATCAACCAGAAATACACGTTAGAAGCCATTACCAGGGAGCCAAGCTCGTGTGCAGATTGAGTATGTTCAAAACCACCTCAACCAATAGAGTAATTCAGTGTTGCATTCG